CTGATTATCAGTCCCATTTTACAGCAGTGGCACCATGCAGTATTTGTCCTTTTGCAACTGAGATATTTCACTCAGCATAATGTCCTCCAGGGTCACCCATTTTGAATAATATTGTATGAGTTCCTTGTTTTTTAATGCAGCATAGTGTTACATTGTATAAATATACTACAGCTTCTCTATACATTCATTTGTTGATGGGCACCTGGGTTGTGAACAAAGCTGCAATAAACATGGGTGTGCATATAACTGCTTGGATGTCAGTTATGGTCTCTTTGGGATATAATCCCAGTAGTGGAATTGCTGGGCCAAATGGTATTTCTATTTGCAATTAAACATAGGCCTTCTTCTCTCCATCAGGCCTAATCAAAGTGTTGGCCTTAGCTATATCAATGTCAAAGAGCTTCTTTTAAGCTTGTTTAATTTGGTGCTTGTTGGCCTTGATATCCATAATGTACACAAGTGTATTGTTATCTTCTATCTTCTTCATGGCTTGACTCAGTGGTCAGGGGAAATTTGATGATGGCATAGTGGACAAGCTTGTTTCTCCTGGGGATGCTTTTACGAGGTTATATGGACTGTCTTCGGAGTCTCAGTGTCTTAGGCTGCCGGAAGGTGGGGATCTTCTTTTGCTTTTTTTTTTGGCTGTGGATGCCCTTCAGGACTGCCTTCTTGGCCTTTAATGCCTTTGCTTTGACTTCAGTTTTGGAAACGGCAGGGGCTTCCTTCTTTGCTTTCGGCATCATCTCCGTATAAAGGGAGATGTAACATTTTTTTTTTAAGTTTATTATTTTTTTGTGTGTACTGTCAAATCAGATCTGACTGGTACAGGAGGAGATTGTCCCTCCTTCTCCAGCAGAGCATCTGGTGGATTTGAATAATGCACTTCTGGGATTGCAGTACAGCTTCTTGCCACCAGGCCACCAGAGCTTGCCAATGAGATGCAACATTTTTAAGAAAAAAGAATATACTCTAACAAACATTAATGTCTGACTTACAGTATATAAATGTTTTTGATATGCTGTTCGCTTGCAACATATTAGGAAAATCTGACTTCATCACAGGTCAAATAGACTCAAACAGATTATATATAACAAGTCAGTCTAACGCTTACATAAGAATTACATGAGCAAAACAACTATGAGATATCATCTCACCCCAGTCAGAATAGCAAAATTTAACAGAACAGCAAGCAACAAATACTGGCAAGGTTGTGGAGAAACTGGAACCCTTATTCACTGTTAGTGGAAGTGTAAAAATTACGCAAAAATTATGCAACCACTGTGGAAGGTGGTGTGGCGTTTTCTCAAAAAAATTGTAAATAGAGATACCATTTGACCCAGCAATTCCACTACTGGGTATATACCCCAAAGAGACCATAACTGCCACCCAAGCAGATATATGCACACACATGTTTATCGCAGTTTTGTTCACAATAGCAAAGAGTTGGAAACAATCTAAGTGTCCATCAACAAACGAATGGATAGAGAAGCTGTGGTATATTCACACAATGGAATTCTACACTGCATTAAAAAACAAGGAACTCACACAATATTATTCAAAATGGTTGACTCTGGAGGACATTATGCTGAGTGAAGTATCCTGGTCACAAAAGGACAAATACTGCATGGTGCCACTGTTGTAAAACAGGACTGACATTGGGGTTTGGGGGAGACTGAGAAAGATGGGTTCAATAATGTATACTGCATTGAAACAGATGAGAGATAAAACTGTATAAAAGGGATATATTATTAGGTACTATTGTCATCACAGGAGTCCAGATGAAGGCTGCATAGTGAAGTGGACCTGGGGGAAGGGATTGTAAAACAATGGGGCACTTTTCTTTTACTTTTCAAAGAGAAGAGTTGTACTGGGGGGAGGGGTGGGCAAGGAAAAGAGTGCAACAATGAATGAATGGAAAGCCAAAGGCTTTTCCGACAGCCAGCAGTCTGAATTGGGAATTCTAGCTCCCTAATGACCTTGCTTGTTGAAAGTGAGGAAGACTTAAAAATGCTTGCTGTAGACCAGCAATGACTATAGCCTTCAATGTGGATTACATCTCAACATCAGAAAGACAAAAATCTTTACCACCAGGGCCATAGGCAACATGAAGACAGATGTAGAAAAGATTAAAGTTGTCTACAATTTAATCTTGCTTGGATCAAAAATCTATAGCTTTGGCATCGATAGTCAAGAGATCTGAAAAGACTTATTGCATTGGGAGAGTCTATCAAGGGCCTCGCCACAGTACTGAGGAACACTGATGCCAGTTTGAAGAATAAAGTGCATCTGATTCAAGCTACAGTCTTTTCAATTACTTGCTATGTGTCTTAGCTGGACAGTGACTAAGGATGACAGAAGAAGAGTCAATGCCCATTGAGTTAGTGTTGGAGAAGAGTACTAAATACAGACTGTCAAAAGAACCAATAGGTATGTCTTACAGTAGGTGCAACCAGTGTGCTTCCTCTCACATACTTTTGAGATATTGTTGGAAGGCATTAGTCCTTAGAAAGGTGGATCAAAGAGAGAAAGATGTTCAATTAAAATGGATAGTTCAATGAAAGAGAGGAAGACCTTCAATCACTCCAAAAATGGGCTCAAGTATGCAGACATGATGAGGATGGCGTAGGATAGAAAAGGGTTCAGATTTGATGTTCACAGGGTCACTATGAGTTGTTCTTGATTCAATGGCACAAAACAACAACAAACTTAGAGAATAAATTTCTGATTATATAAAGCCACAACTGATAGCACTTATGGCATCTGTTAATAGCAGCACAAAATAATGAAGGTTGTGTTGTCATAACAATAGCGGTTAATAGCCAAGCCTGTCAAAAAAGACTACTTACACCCATGTTTATTGCAGCTTTGTTTACAATAGCAAAGAGTTGGAAGCAGCCTAAGGGCCCATCAACAAAC